TCGTCTCATTATAAATTAGTTTTGAATATCTCTCAGTATGCACAACGTTCCTCAGCTACCCAAGTTAGAACTCCTTATTAGACTGGAAAGAATTTGCGTTTTAATTAGTTTTACCTCTGGTGTACGAAGCCCACTGAGATTACTACACTTAGTAAAATTTAATTAACTTGACAAAAGATCCTAATTGTTTTCGTGCCACTGGTCCTTCGAAAGTCTAAAAATAATGCCCTCCAAATTAAGCGGCCAAGACAAAGCTTCATTTTGACTGTTCCATATTTTTTAAAAAAATTATAATTCATAGGAAGTTTTTCGGTGTGAGACCCTGGGATTTGGGTGAAGAAGCAGAGGTCTAAAGATTCTTTTAGAAGAGATAGCTGGCAGTGGGGGTGAGAGGAGAGAGAGAACAGGGAAAAGGGACATCCCTCTCTCATTCATCCTAGTGGAAATGAGACGAGGAATGTATTGATTCGTTCAATTCCTCAAAGACTCAAGCAGACATAATATATCATGTGAATTAATAATGAAGGGTTATAAGTAAAAAGTGCTGAATGAATGAATATTCATTTATTTATTCATTTATCATTTATATTACTCTGTTAATAAGCATTTCTGACGGACCAATTTTGGAGTCAAGTGCTCTTGATGACAATATTCCTTCCATGAGAACCCTGGGATCTTGCAATGTCATTTCCTATGTGTGACCTTCCTTTTCCTCTGCTCTTTCCAGCTAAAGTTACATAACATTCCTTGCTCACTTTTTTGTGTTTCTGAAGCATTTTGTCTTTCTCTTCTAGGAGGGAAGAATATGGACATACTGCGCTGTGGCTACTGGCTTTCCTTGGTTCCTTAGTCACAGTGTTGCAAACACAGGTTTTCACCTTGATATTGTTTGACCTTGTGCAAGAAAAATCTTCTCTGTGTTTCAGCCTTCTAAGTGAAGAAATCGTCCTACTCTCTCCCTGGAGGGAGCTGCTGATGGATGAATGAGAATAAAATAAAACAAATGGACACTTCAAGTTCACCTGAAGTTGAGGTTCAATATGATAATTTGAGCATCACCTCTAAGACCTAATTCAGTTACCTTGACCCTGATCCTACTAAACCCAATTTCTTTACTTTTGTCCCACTACACAGTTTAAGATGTACTGAACAGTGACTGTGTCTGTCTGGCAGCAGTATTTTTTTTTTAAACCTGAGAACATGATCATCCTCATCATCATTAATTGTACATTAAACACAAACTTGTATCTATTGTGCACTTTGGCTTTACAAAAAAATAAATAAATAAAGGAAGAAAGAAATAAAAGTAAATGTTAAAGTTGGGCTGTAACATTTCAGAAGTTCCCAGTGTCACTTTATTGTTCAAATGAGGTCATTCTACTGCAGGCTGGAATCTTTTGGAGATGCCCAGAGCTTTATTTGCTTCTTTCTGCTTCTATCCTCCTACTCCCACCAGTTAAAGAAGACACTGAAAAAAATTTTTGCCTACTTCACTGTTCAATGGGGTGAGCCTCTTAGAAGCATCTTTCCTTCATTTTAAAATGTCACTCTCATTCTCATCTCCCGTTTTGTAAGAGCCACCACCAGACACAGCCCATTTGGAACCTACCCCTCCTCCACTCAATGAGGTGCTACTGAAGCTAAAAATCATGATAGTAGTTTGTCCCCGTGAGTGTGGGCACATGACCTGGATCTGAATATTCACGGTATCCCATCCTCTGACCATAGTGACAACAAATGAATCTGCCCCAACCTGGGCCAGACACCTGCTAGCCACCTTCTCTGGATTGTGTTTTGATGATGTAAGCTCTTTATGTCCTTCAAACTCAGGAAGTTACACTAATGGAAACTAAAGCTGGATAGGCCTGTGCTCTCTTTGCTAGGTATATGAATATGTCTCCCTTTAAGGAGAAAGACCAAGGACAGCCCATTGAAAGAATCAACCCAAAGACATGGACAGAGGGAAAGAAAGAAAGAGGGAAAAGAGAAGTGGAGGGGAAGAGGAGGAGGTGACAATATTCTTGAAGTCACTGGAGACCTTTGACTACAGCCTCATACTCTTGCTTAGGTTAATTTGAGTCAGGGTTCTACTAGTTGCAACTGAAAGTCTTTTCTCCTTTCTTTATATCTTCAACTCCCCTTTATCACACCATTTTTCAACTTTCTGACCTTTTTCCAACCATGACATGAGGAGTTTCAAGGAATGGCCTTCACCAGAGCCTGGTTTGGTGAGAACACAGGTCCAGGGCTGGCGGCCATGAGCGGTGCTATTCTCCACCCTGCCTCCAGCCTACAAACGTCCTTAGCACATGGGACATGGGAAACAGTGTTGTTCCAGGGGCCCACTGCATGCATGCTGATGACTACGATGGGGTCCACCACAGAGAATCTCAGCTGCTCCCAGGTTTAAGACCTTTAACAATGCAAAGGACACCCAGAACGAAAGGAAGCCTCTTCACGTCAGCCGCTTTCACAGTTAAGATTTATAGCTCAGAAACTGGAAAAATCTTCAGAGGCAGGTAGAGCCTCTTTGGCAACTTCCCTTCCATATATAAGATTTCATTTTGAGTCATATTTTAAATTGAATAAAGTAATAATACATTTTTTTTCAAATATCATATATTTCTAAGGTTAGCCATTAGCACAATTAAGTTATATTAAGTCCCACCATCCCAGATATGGGAAAAGTATCAAAATTTAATGAAATAGACATTCTTACTGTATGTATATATGTGACTGCATGACCAATATGATTCTGCAACATGTTCACTCAGAAAAATGAGAAATTATATCCCATCTATGTATGATATATTAAAGGGCATAAATGCATTCTACTGTCATGTGTAACTAATTAAAACAAAATTTTAAAAATTTAAATTGAACATCAATTACAAAAACTATTAAAATAAATGTGTTTTCAGAATTCTATGAGAAAAGTAATAATTAAATGATTAGAGCATTTGAAAAATAATTTGCATTTTTCATATACATGATAATTTCATTGAAACAGTCCCAGAATTGCAAACTTGGGACTGGATGGGTTAATCAACTTTGACAAGCACACACTGAACATAGCAGGGGAAATGTGTACGTGTTTGATAGCTATATTCATAACTTTAGCTACAGCAAGGCCTCTATCACTCTTTCTTATTCTAAACTTCTCAGAGATCGGATCTATAATACTTAGATTATAGTAAAACACTAATTGTCCTCAAGCTTTGTTCAATCTATTCATAATCACTGTCATTCAAAAAACATTGATGATCACCAACTATGTGTTTACAACAGGGCCAGGAAAACAAGACACTGTCACACTGTCCTGCCCCTAAATTTATATGGTGCATAGTCTATCCACTATTTATAGCCATACTTTTTTGCTTATATATTTCCATCTCTCATTAATATACTCTGCTGCCTTATGTATAATTCTCCAAGTCCTTCTCAAACTTCAAAATCAATGAAGTCTTTTATAACATATGCAGATGGCAACTGGGTGTTTTCTTTGTCTTCTAAAATCTCATAGTATATTGGCTACATCTTTCCTTTAACATATAACACACTTAATAGACTTAGTCATTTAGTAGTTATTCATGTTCAGGTGATTTCTTCAAGTCAGTGGTTCTATCATATACATATATATGTATTTGCACACATGTGTGTATATATGCATATAATATATGTAATATATGTATTTTTTTATATATCCTATAGGACCTCTGATAGGCATTAAGTACTAAGTCTGATGCACTGTAGGGTTTAAGGAAACAAACAAAACAATGTTCAAACACTTTAAAAATGACTGACTCAAATTCCCTTGGAGCATAGTACCTTCCAAATAAGAACCTCTCATCACAGAAAGTGATTCTTTGAGACTGTTGCATTTTTCAACAAAAATGCTGAGGTCTATTTACGCTGGACAGAACGAATTGCTTCCCTCTGACTCGGACATCTATTTGACGGTATCATAACAAATTCCTGTAATGACCACCAAAAAGGCTGGTATTGATCTCTGAAATTGGCAGGCACATGTCCTATAGATGGAATATTTGTTTAAGAAAATTACAAGGATCGATAGCTCAGAGGTCATCAAGAGAGATGACAGGTGGTAATTTCGATATATGGCCCACCACCACTTAATGAAAAGGGAAAGGGCCCATTTGTCACATCTGGCTGATAAATCCTCCATGTGCCTCTTTATTGAACATAAAGCCATGCAAGCTGTCAGCTGCCATGGTCTGGGCATCCTCATCTGAGAAATGGGGTAAGGTTAACTTTATTTATCAAAAGGACTGTCCGCAGGGAGAGAAGCACAAGTAGCATTTGTTGCCAATAAGAAGCATGTGCCAAGCCTGGCTAGGCAGATCTATTGTCACGACAGCCCCAGGAGGCAAGTAATGTCTTTATGCTGTCCACTGGAGCTCGGAGGGATGACAGGACCTAGCAAGGTCCTGTAGACATAAGAGGACATTAGGATCAGAACCAGCACCTGACAGGCACAGAGCCCATAGTTTCGCCACACCCTAAGCTATGTGGAGTGAAGTGGCTTCCAGAAGGAAATGGCACCTAGACTGAGCCAGAGAAATCACTATATCCCCACCTGGATCTCCCACTTTCTTCCTTCTGCCTGACATTCAGGTGAGTCACTCTCTCGGCCTCAGTTTCCTCATCTAGAAAATCGGAATCCTAAGGTGTGTTAGAAAGGTGTTAAATAATCACGAGATTCTTGGGGCTGCTGCACGTCCCTCTGTTCAAGCGCCAGGAAATTTTACTTAGTCTTTCAATTAGGAGAATATGTTTATTGTAAAGAAGAGAATAATGCCACATATTAAAGAAAGACAATTTTTATGATTGTTACTCATCTATCTAATTTCATTTGTGATCCAGCCCATTAACTTTAACACTAGCCCTGGGAATATAGCCCTTCTTTGCTCTCACAGAGACAACAGAAATAATTTTGAATTCTTAGTTCTTCTAAAATCCATGGATAAAGTGCCACTTACCATTCACTTATGATGAAATACACAGGCGTCCATCACAGAATGTATCCCAGACATTTTTCTGAGCTGTCCTAGAGGAAAAGGAACAAAGATGAGACTCAAGAAAAACTAAAAATTCCAATTCCTCCTATAAAAACCGTGTGAATGAAAATCGTCAAGTTAATTCACCTGTACAAAGTGCTCAATTTCTTCATCTGTAAAACAGGAGCATTATTTGATTCACAGTTTTAGTCTAAGTGTTCAAAAAGGATGATGTATATAGAATGCCTGCTCTGTAATACGCAGCAATCACCTGCACAGTTGTTCTTGGATGGTTCTCATTGATCCTTAGGTGTCAATATATCTGGGTACCCATGAGAAAAATATCTGGATGGTGCATCTTTGGGGCCATTTAGAAGTTGCATTCCTTGTAGAGACTGATTTCATCTGAACTGTCCCCTACCCAAACAGCAGGAAGAATATCTTAGCAGCTGACATACACCATTGGTAGTAGGGAGATTTCCTATAGACAAAGATGAGAGATCAGGTGAGCTAAGAGAATCTCATTGCAAGTCCTTCTGGTCTTCCTGTGACTGCTATTGTGTACCAAGACAGTCCCTCTAGCACTCTCTCCCACAGCAAGAAGAGTGTGACTTCACTCCATTTAGCTGTCATTAACCAAAGTAATTGAGGGTCTTGCTTTTTCCATGATAATAATAGAGATGTATTTGATGATACAGTAATAACAACCTGCTCATTTGTTGTGCTTATTTGGAGCACACATAGATGAGTGTTTCATGGTCATTAGCTCACAACATTCCTCTATTTGAGGCACTGTTTTTATTGCTATTTTATGGAAAACAAAGAAAACTGAGTCTCAGGGGCTCCTCACATTGCTCATGATATCATTGCTGGTTAGTGGCAAAGCTAGGACCAAACAGAGCTCTGTCTTATATCAGTGATGTTGGACACACTGCAGGACCATGATCAATTTTAAGAAAACAGATGGGATATGTGATTGAAGGGAGGATTGATTGAAGGGAGGGTTGTATTCTCACTCTGAGCCTCCATGTGCTAAATGCTTCCTTGAGAATATTTACCAGAATCCTGGATAAAAGCTGTTATTAGCAATGGTTTAAGTTTAGGGGGAAATTGCTGCTCAGAGAGGCCAACAACTTACCAAAGATACCCAGCTCTGCTAGGCAGAGCTAGAGGATCTCGTGAGATGCTACATCCATATTTGGGGAAAGGTATTTTATACTTATTCGTGTACCCTCAAGAAGCCTCTGCCTTGTATAATTAGTCTGCATCAGCAACAGCATGGCCTTGAAGAGTATTGTTCATAACTAAATATGGGAGAAGCTGAAGTTGATTTGGATCAACAAGAATGTGGGGAAATGGGAGGAAATATCTGAGTGGGGCTCTACAGGAAAGCTTCTGCATATCCTTGCTAAATTAATGAACAAACAATTGTAGCTATAGTGTCACAGTGCTGCTCCAAGTGTTCCATCACTGATGCCCTCAGAGGATAAGAGGAGTATTCTCCCCTTGGAAGGGGAGGCCAGTAGGAAACCAGTGCCGCCAGACAGTGGATCCCAGATAAGGGCACAGAGATGCAAGCCTCAGGTGTCAGGACCTTCCCAGTGCAGGCCAAGGACACCAATCTCCTCCCCAGTGTTCTGATGGCACCAGAAAATGGTCAGAGGCTGCAGAACGGAGAAGGTCGAAGAGAACATTTGGAGAAATGTTGGAGTCTGAGATAAAGAGGGACAACCACACACCACACGGAGTCCTTGATTTGTGCCAGCACACTGCATTGTTACACCATTGATCTGTCCAAAAATCATGAAGCAAACTTAATTTTACACATGAGGCCACTAAAGAGCAAAGGGTCAAGATTTTCCCTCAATTGCGTGATTATGAAAACGGGGAGCCAAGCTTTCTAACATCAACCATATGCTGCTTAGGGCTGCAGAGTTCTTTCCAGGGTGGGAATGTCCCAGCACTTCCCATCTTGGCTCAAGCTGATTGTACTCATTTTTAATTCCTTGGGGAGCTGGCAAGAGGTCAGAAACAAGAACCAGCCACACTGGGGTTGATAAGATGGGAGGGGGGCATGGGGTGTTCATTTCTAGGCAAAAGGCAGTAGGAGGTGTTGCGGTTAGAGGTTAATGCTGCCCTTGGTGGAAAAATAAGGAGAAATGGATGAGCAGGTGTCTTTGATCAGGACTGTGAAACTACTAGAACTGCCCAGGTATCTACTGCTGGCATCAACCCTGGGATCAGTTTCACACAGAGATACACAAGTCCTTCTCTGCTCTCCTGTTATTTCTGGATCCTCCACTTTGGATCCCTCTGGCCTCACTGGCCAGTCTGGCTCCATTATCAATTGATGGAGGTTATTCCTCATTCACCCTCCTGCGTTTTTAAGATACTAAAATATTCTATGTCACAGCATTTTCTTTAAATAATAAATTTACGGCAGCAAAATTGGAACAGCCTTCAAAGCACATTCTTGAGATGAACCTTGGCTTGATGTATTACAACATTTGAAGCAGGAATTCCGCACACAAAGTCCTCATCAGGACCTGAAATGATTAGATACGTATGAAAAGGAGCAGTAATGGCAAAGGCAGGCCTCTGGCTGACCTTTGCTTCCCAGTGTCAATACTCATCTTGTTCCCTTTTAATGACACCCACAGTTCGTGCCTAATGAAAGTTTTCCCATTATGAGATTCTGTCAGAAGAAGCAGCCACCAGAATACTGTGCTTGTCCACCTCTGGGTACGTCCAGGGGTGTTTTAACAAAACTGAAGGAAAAGCAGGCCTTCATGTCCCAGAAAGGGACCTGCGCTGTTCCAAATTTGCATGTATCTCAAGGGCAGAATAAATCACCAGCAAATTGGCACACAGAGTAGGATTCCTTGCCCCTGATTTAATAGTGTAGGGGCAACTTCCGAGGCATATTTCTAAATTGCCCTCTTAATACATTTTAATGCATTAGTCAGACATGGCGAGGGAGTAGATATAATTATAACTACTTTTTGGAGATCATACACCGTTTGCTGGTTGACACTTTAAAGTGAAGGTGGCCCTTTCGAGCAAATTAAGGTTTCTTAATTCCATGCTATTGCACTTTAAGTCACCTTTGAAATTTTATAATAACCTATAATTGATTGGTTTGGTGAATTGCATCTTAATTGAAAAATATAATATCTAAAAGCTATTTTAATTAACCATTATGCAGGCATTTAGCTGTGCAGCTGCTGCAGTCTCAATGAAAATAAATAAATAAATGAATAAATAAGTTCCATAAATGACGTGTCAGCACTGTCTGCTGGTGTGTTCTATTTAAGAACAAAGAGTTGTGGTCTGAGGCTCAAGGGGTAGCTACAGAGGACTAAAAAGGGCATTGCTCAAAGGACTTGAATTTCAGTCTTGAAAAAGGGAGCTGATATTTGACCCCAACCATGGCACCCCATTGAATTTCTGTCATCCATTTACCCAGCTGCTGTTTCAAAAATAAGGTCTAGACAAGGCTCAGTTAGGATGTACAATTATGGTTCTTTAAAAAAAAATGGAAGGAGCAATCTTCACTAGGAAATTTTCACATGACTTTTGGAGAGGGGGCATCTGAAAACCAACAAAAATAATGCTTCAAAGTCCACTTTTCTGGAATCTGATTTTTCTCAATCTGGTGGATAATGGCAGCAGGATAATTATGTCTCAAAAGTTGCTCAACTCCACACTAAAATGCATGTTTATTACATGTGAATTATGCTCAGTTAAATCACTACTAGGGACAATTTGAGAAAAGTCCAGTTTACTTAGGTTTCTGTTTCCCTGACTATTTTAATGTGGTGTCTTATTACACAAGGAGAAGTGGGGTACTGTTCAGAGAGCAGCTAACTCACTAGTGAGTGCAAAACACAAAGTTAAAACTTCTCTGGTACTTCATCTTAAAAAGACCATTATCAGATTTCACCTTCAGTATTCATGGTATTCATTTTTAAATGAACTAAGCAAAAAAATGTCTCAAATGGAAACTCTTTCAATGCCCATGACATGAAATTGTACAACTTTTAGTCTGTGGAATTAAGAAAAGGAAAAAAAAAAAGAGAGTAGGATGAGAATTCAAACCCCAACCAGTTTATAATATTGTTAACCAGCCAATTACACTGTTAGTCCACAATGATAAAATTCTCTCCAAATACGGCTTAGCTATTCCTTGTTCTTTGCAATAATTTTCTTCCAATTTGCCACTGTTTCATAAAGTTTTGTCAATCATAAGCATTTTTTAGAAGATTGAAATGGCAAGTTAATAGTTTACTCTGAAAGAGACAAACACTGGGGGGGAACAGCTGCACCATTGCATAGTGACGGAGAATGCCAATGTAATGAAGGAGCAAGCGGGCAATTAAAAAGAAGGAAATGCTCACGGAATGAATTTCTAACGTGCAGGCTCCCTAATTTGTAAATCTATTGAGGATTGTTTAAACATGTTCCTTTTGATCAATAAAATTCCTAATGGCTGTTTGCATTCCCACTGAATGTCCCTAAACTGGCGTCTGCAAGCTTAGCAAAGTTGAACACAGAGGAATTCAAGGCAAACCCAGAATACTGGTGCCTGCACCTTTCCTCTGAAACTTTGAGCTCAAGAGCAAAAACAGAGGTCTTAAAGACAGAGAACTGAAAAGATGAAAGGGAGTAAAAAAGCCATGTCGGAAGCCAGCTAGTCTGGACTTTTCCTACTCCAGTTCATTTCATTTCTTCTGCAATTTAGAGAAGAACAAAGAAGGATATGGAAGTTGAACACCAATATTTAGGACTCTGCTAGGAAGCTTGGCATGCCCGAAATGCATTTGGAAAGAAGGGTGTGTCTGCTACAATGCATTCGCCAAAAAGGCTTTGCCTACTCTATGCCCTTCTTGTTTATTCTAACTCATTCAAGTTATGAAGTCTGTTCCATCAAATAAAATACTTTTCCTGAAGCTCACTTCAAATTTTGCACAGCATTTGCATTAAATTTCTCTTGGCTTAACTCACATGATGGTTGCAAACCTTCCTCATTCTTCCCATCATTTTGATGGAC